GGGGGAGCGAGGGAAATGGGGGAGTGGTCGTGTTGGAGCAACATTTGTTTTTTGACATGTGGTGACCGTTTTTTGTTTCTCTCTCCTTTCTCGCGTTGGCCAATGTTGGACTGTGGCGTGCACTGCGGCCGAGATGCTGCGCTGTTGTCATGGCATCTGCTCTTGAGTTATGAGCTGTTCATTGCTCTCAGCTTTCATTGTTGTATGGTTTTCGTTTTATTATTACATTTGCAAAACCTCATTGTCTTTAATTCCGACATACATATGAATGAGGGAATGAATGAACAATCGACCAAAAACACATGGAACAACAGCACTGGCAGACTGAGTGCTGGCGATATGTTCGTCTGTGTGTGTGTGTGTCTGAATGTACGTGGCCTTGTCCTTCTTCCACTGAGACAGGACACATTATTATAAAGAAATATACGCGAACATATGAGACTATGAATTTGTTGGAAAGTCCACATTAGTGGTTAAATATGATAGCAATTGGATGATGATGATGACGATGGCAACACACAAAAACGTCCATTATTGCATCTGGTGTTGTTGGGCTAACATGTTCGTTTGTAGAGAGGAGGTTGGGGTTTTATTAAGTTTGTCATCCGGTTCGTAACTTATTGAAATATCCTGTAACCCCAATGTGTATGTATAAGTACTAAATGAAATACTCTAAACCGATAATAATTAATTTATTTTGCCTCTTTAGCCATTTTAGCATCATATCATTCGAAGGCGAAGTTTAAACGAATCGAATGGCGCACGATCATCGCTCACTTACTTAAAATCTGTCACATCTCCAAAAATGTAGTTTAAAGTTGAAAACGCATTTGAGTGGAATAGAAACATGTTTATATATATGTATACTCGATACATTTTTTACTCGCAGGAGTACTTTATCCCGAGCTCGAGTAAAGAGTGAAACTGGTACGCATTTCGAAGCTCTGGCATTAGGCCGAGTTCGTATGGATACTTCTTATTCAAACAAAAGCATTCGAATTGCATCCAATTGTGTCAGACGTGGATTTCAGAGCTGTCAGAGATGTTCTATATTTAATAGTATTGTGAATATAACTTTCTTACCAAGCTTGGCTGGAATTTGCACTAAGATCATCAAAATACCGTAGGTACCGTGTACCGGGCTATACGAAAATATGGACCGATACACATCATTTTCAACACCAATCATTCTAAAGATAATACAAAATATTGCGCCAAATCTAAAATCTATGTCAAATAAGTCAGTATTATTGTCAATATCTTGGTCTCAAAAGACAGAGGAACATATTCAAGTCGACATGGAATTTTATGCTGATCACGAATTTTTATACTCGATGGGGTGGTGTTACACAAAACAAGATACTATACACTTGAAATCAACATTTTATATTCACAACCGAGATTAAAACTTATAACTAAAATTATTAAATTCCAAACCAAAGATTGTCATGTGATCGAGAAACATACTTGTATTTTTCAAAACCTGAAAACCAAATTTCTAAAATTGTTTTTCCACTACGAATCGGAAATACCAAATTATAGGCCATTCAGTTGAAACAACTGACTGGGATACTGATACCGCCGTATCAACGTTTGGGAGAGTTTGACGACTCAGTTGGGTAATAGGCATTTAGTTTGATTAGGACGTTGGACTGAAACTTCTGATATACCGAATACAAGATAGTTGCCGTTATAAGGGACTGCACAATCCTACGTTGAAAATTAATTTTGTCCCACGCCAAATAAAAATACATCTTCCCAACCAACCTTGGCTGTGAGCCACTGTTAGATGACTATAAATTATTCGTAAGAATTTTACACAACAACATATTCATATTTGGAGTGATGGCAGACGACAAACTACTTGAATTCCATGCCGTGAACGATTTCCACTGGAACATCTGTCAATGACACTATGTTTCATTTCAACACTTCTCATTGAAGTTTCAGCACGTTTGCCCACAGGGGAACATTAGCAAGATGTTGGAGGATGAGTAGTTATGGGCAGGAACAAATAGAACGCACAATTTTGACAAGCCCAACAATCTGAGTGTGACACCTGCAATTAGACAATTCAATTACAGCCTACAATGCCGACAACGCTGACAACAAATCGCTTATAAACTCACGCCTTACTGTGCCTCTACTCCTCCCACGATGTACACATGCAACGCCTGGAAATGTGTCAAACTCTGACGTTCATAGCTCTTTCGCCTCCGATATGATGAAGCATAAAGGCGTTGTGAAATGCCACATCAAGTATTTGTCATTGATAGACAGACAGACGGTATCTGGTGGAGGGGTTTAACGAACTCGGAATTCTTAGAATGTTCGAAACTTTACTTAAAACATAATTTCATAATAAACATATGTAAATACGTGGTTCAATTGTAAGCCTGCCAAAAGGAAAAAAATAAAATCTGATAATAGGTTTATTTTTGCGCTACGGGGTGAGATAAAAAAAACTGCAACAAAGTCAAACGCCATAATTTTAACATTTATGTTTTAAGTTTTATTGAATGAAAGCAAAAAATGTCGGAAACAGCATCAAATGTTAGAATAAGTTTAGATTTGTTCGAATTGGTCAACTTTGGCACGAATTATGGCCTTCAAATGGCCAATGAAACAGTCACATGCTGCCCGAATGTTGTTCTGCGGTATATGTGCGCTGGTGCGTGCTGAGTGCGATGGTGCTGAGTCCTGTTGGAATGTTCAAGGTCTGCGACCAAAATGTTTGCGTGCCAAAGGCTTTAATACATCCTCCAGAATATTTTCGCGATAATATTCGGCATTTATTCTGATGCCACGGTCGATTAATACGAGCAGAGAGCGACTATCGGCTGTTATGGCGGCCCACATCATGACCATGGCCGGCGCTTGAGTTCTGGTGGCCAACCGATGGTGCACATTTTCAACTGACCTCTTTGGCAAGTAAATTCGATCATTGTGTTTGTTTACAAACTGCTGGACAACGAATGTTTTCTCATTGGAGAAAACCAAATTCGGCAGTTCACAACTTTCGGCCAAGCGAAGCAGCTCTTTTGAGTCTGTTTTCTTTATGTTGCGGTGTAAGGTCTTGTACTTTTTGAAATTTCAATGGCTTTACCTAGAGCTCATGAGCCGAATGGAATATTACGACATGTTCAGCTCGCGAGCCATTTTTCGGCCACTGCGACGCGGGTTCCGATCAAGTCGCTTCTTTACTTTTCGAACCATTTCTGCTGATGTTGCTGTTTTCGTCCGTCCATTTCCTTGACGTCGGGCTACGCTACCAGTATCACGGTAACGAGCGATGGTGCGAGACACAAAAGATGTATTCACATTTAAATGCTGGAGTGCTCTAATGATATCCACTTGTGGTTTTCCAGTCAAATGTAAGGAAATCACGCAATCACGAATAACTTTGTTTTCTCGTCAAAATGCTTTTGTACCCTTGTAAACAATATAATGAGCTGTTACTGGAATAATTTTTACAGTTGTCGGACGAGTGGCTTAGAAATGACAGCGGTCTTAAGTTGTATGTGTGAAATTTGTTTTTTTTTTTTTTAATCGTGAACCCAATGTGGAGGAGGTACAAGAAGAAATGGTTCGATCTCTACCATCTTTATAACAGATCCTGTGTTGATGGAAATATCGAGATGCACCAAGTCTGAATGGAATCGAGTGTTTATTTCGCGTTTTATGAACTTCATGGATATTCAAAATGTTGATCCTTTGTTGGGGAGGTACCAGGAGGAGTGGATATATTCCATCTTCACATCAGACTTTGGGTTAATAAAAATGTTATGATGTGTGTAATTTGAAACAATCGCACTCTTACACCACATTTTATAAAAGTTATTTATTCAATATTTTGACCATTTGTGGGGGAAGTATTTGTTGGAGTGAACCTATTTTTTTCTATTTTCGTACCTCATCTAGCACTGATGCAAACATTAGGATTTGGGGAAAAATCGTGTTATGCTTTCTTCTTTTGTGCAGCAAAAAAAGAAAAAATATATATATATATATATATATATATATATATATTTTTTTTTTTTTTTTTTTCTTTTTTTTTTTTTTTTTTGAAAATTTTAACCTTTTTTGGGGAATGTACCAGAAGGAGTGAATCGATATTGTCCGTCTCCTAACTCTTTCTGAGTTTCATAATAATATTACACTGTACCAAGTTTCGAGAGTTATAGTGCGCCAGCCAGACAGACGGACATCACTAAATAGACTCCAAACGTCCCGAAACGGGTTTGGTCCGAAGAGACCTAGGATCTAATTTTATTTCGCTGAGGAAGCTCAGCTATATGGCTGAGGGTATAAAACTAAAGTTGCAACATTGTAGAACATGAGGACCTAAAAATACGATTGAATAAAAGACCAATCGGTTTAGTATTGAATCGCTAGTTGTAAACATCGGTTAGTGAAAATGCAAAGTTAAGATGTGTTCTAAGTAGAGTGAGAACTGCGTAAAGTCGTGTCTGAATTATTGAATAAAATATTGTAAGATTCATAATCTAAACGAATCTTTGTTTCCTCGTTATGCAACTCGAATAGCCGCTCCAAAGCCGGCATTCTTTGGTATTGTCTATTTCATTTCATTGTTTATTTTTAAGGTACAGCTATATCCGCTAAATAAGCACAGTGTGTAGGGTATATTATAATCGGCCCAAGCCGGCTTTTGTCCTTCCCTTACTTGTGTTTCTTTACCTCTTGGCAATACAAATGCGAGACTTGATTTTGGAATCGAATTTGAGTTGCTATCGGGACAAAAATAATTCGATTTTATAACACAATCATTTTATGGGTAACAATGTTTGCAACAATGTTTGCAGAGATATGAAACTTAACAACCCGTATAGAAGTTCTTATCAAAAGTTCTTTGTTCAGTTCGTCGAAGGTAAAAGTTTCGCAAGATAAACCAGTAAAAACTCTCTAAATTCGACCGCGCCGAATGTTTAATACCTTCCATCATGAAGAAAAGAAGAGACTTAGATGTTCAGAACAGTGGGCGGCACCATTATGTGAAGGCTATTTGATTTTTGATTTTTGCGAGGGGCTACAAACGGAATGACAAGGTTATTATACCCTCCATAGGGTGATGGTGGTGGATGGAAACGGGGATAAAAACGGAATCTTCTTGGGAACACAACTCTCTTGTGGGCTTTGTAATTGTTTTGCAGCGGAAGCTAAAGGTTGTGTTCGAGATGGGTAAGTATTTGTTCCGACTCGCATGAAGTGAAACTAATCTTCATTTTTGTCTTCAGATCACAAATGGATAACCTGTGACAATGGAACTGTGCCACCACTGGCTGTGGTGGGTGGTTACGACTCGGATGGTGACACCATTTACATTGGACGGGCTGAATTCGCAGGCGATCTTTTGCCAGCCAAGGTTATTCCAGCTAAAGGCAAAGCCTATGTCTGCTACGACGGCAAAGAGTACGAAATCGAAACCTATGAAGTGTTGACTGGATTGCGTTATCAGTGGATTGCAGCTGCCAATGGCGATGTACCCGAAGCGGCCATAAAAGTCGGCAGAGCTTCTGATGGCGATTTTCTCTATGCTGGACGCGGATTCTGGCAAGGAAGTTTGAGCTTGGGCAAAGTACACCCCTCACACGGTTGCCTCTATATCCCCTACGGCGCAGAGGAAGTCAGCTTAACAGATTACGAGGTATTAACGCAACCAGACCAGTGGATCTCCGCCACTGCTGATTCGATGCCCGAAGATGCGCTCGAAGGAGGTTGTGACGTAGACGGTGACCCCATCTATGTTGGCCGTGTATGTAGGCATGGTGATTTACTGCCAGCCAAAGTTATTCCCAACAAGGGTGGTGCCTATATTTGTTGGGACGGCGAAGAAGAGAAAGTGGAAGATTTCCAAGTCCTGGTTGGAGCAGGTTTTATGTGGGTTGCCTGTGAAAATGGAAACATTGTGCCCGGTGCTGTGCCCGCGGGCATCACTTGTGACGGCGAAACTCTCTACGTTGGTCGTGCCGAACATGCTGGTAGTCTGAGTGTGGGCAAAGTTCATCCCTCCCATGGATGCATCTATATTCCATTCGGTGGCGAAGAAGCTAGTATCGAATCGTATGAAGTTCTGGTCAGGTTATAGATTATTATAATACATCCCCACGATGAAATGAAATTGCATATGACATCACATAAATCACATAAATCAAATAAATGCATACAAATTCGTACTAAGCAAGGTACTACAACGTATCGACATTTTTTGCGTGAGTTTTTTTTTTTTTTTTGCAAAATTCATGTGATACCCTACAGCACTGCAATATGCTAGAAGCCCCCTTATGTCCAAACCCATTTTGGGAGATCTCGCTTTTGAAATTATATCACGGAGCACTGCCCAGATATTATCCTTAGCATTGCGACCAGGGACATTAGTTGTTGTGGTCCATTTTACTGCTAAATATAATCCAAAGGTCATCAAAAAAGCTAGACTTCTTATCTGTCCTTAACTCTCTTCTCAGGCGTGTCGATTGGCTTCAATTGTGTGATCAGAAAATTATTTCTGTTTTGGGTTCATTTGAACCCCTAAATGTTTTGCGATCATCTTATGACAGATTTATACTCATCTATATGATTTGCTTGTCTACGATATTTGGCTATATTCGTTAACGAAATCAGCGTAAAAAAGCAAGAAGTTCGCCTTTTGTGTAAGTAATGTGGTATTTTTTCACACAAAAGTAGTGATCCATTCTATTCGCTGTCCTAAACTATAACTTCATACGAGATTTCATGTCCTTTCGTTTCTATTTTTTACCTTTAACGGCTGCAAAATCAGGAACATTTTTAGTTGTTGGCCCATTTCAACCTCTAAATATATTTTTTAGAGATCTTTGAAAACAATAGGCCTAGCTCTTCTGAACCTAACCCTTCTGAGCCTAACCCTACCCTTGTGAAAATTTCCGTAAGGATCGGACGATAATTGGAATCTGTATATAATAACCCCAACCTGTGTTGTAAGGTGAAAAAATTCACTTCAGTATGATAAGTCAAGTTAAAAAAATCGCATGCGATAAAAAATATTAAAATATTTTAGAAAAAATGTCACAAAATACACAAAATCTACATTAATATCATCATTGGCATCTTTTTATGCGATTTTTTTTTAGATTTTATACTTTTATGCCAGCCATTCTTGAGATATAAACCTTCTAACTAACATCTATTTCCTTTGTGTAACACATTGTATACATGTTGGCATCCACGTATCGGTCAGAATTGACCTGCTCGTCTATTTGTGATTTCGCCGGGATTAAATATATTCGCGGTGTAATAGAAAATTTGACATTTATTAAACACAAATGTTAATGTCACCCACTAAATATTACACGGTGACCATCAAAATTGGAAGATTTCTGCCCTAAGCTTTAGGCCCATGCCAACTTCCGCTTCAGGAAAAATTTTAGTTTTTAGTCTATTTTAACCCCTACATTTTATGCGATCATCTCCAATAGGCTTCTATTCTAGCTCTAGCCCTACCTCCATTCTAAATTTCGTGAAATGGGGCCATAATTGCGACCTGTAGAGTGATTACAAATTAACATGGACGGACATACATAGCTAGATCGACTCAGCTCGGCGAGATAGGAACATCCATATGCAGTTTTCTATGTGCGAAACCAATATTTCGAGGTGTTACATAATTTTTGGCCTAATCAAACTTATAATACCCCCAACGCATAGTGCTGTAGGATATAAAAATACCAAAAAATGTAGTTAGGGGTAAGTTTTGTTGTAAAAGGTTTTTACTAATGACACTAGCACTAAATGTAATTCCGTGGCAAAATTATCTTCTTTTGCCTAGAGGTGCCCTCTATCTGCAGGCAGGTTAAGTATTATATGGCATGGACTATATCGGGTAGCCTCCATATAACTGTTCCTCTCGATATTTAATATTTTGATGATTTTAGTCATATTTCTTAACGAAATGTTTTTAAATTCGGCACCAATTATAACAACTCCTGTAGCTAAAGATTGTAAATTTAGGTTTACGTTTTGGTATTGCCTCCACTAACTGCGTTCTCCAACAGAATTCAACTGGCAGGAGCAGTTTGAACCAATAGTGCAATACGATGCAACATTGTTATCAAGCCAGAGGTCAGATGTCAAATTTTTAAGCCATGAAAAGTGCTAAAATGTGCATGAGCGTACAAAATGATAAAACATTGCAATGTAGCTATTGGTACGAACCTTGTCTTAGATATTGCGATCTAGGTTTGAGATAAGTTGAAATTTAAAAAAAAATACCTCTTTAAGATCACGAAAAGTAATTAAAGGTTTGTTATTGAGCGATTAATAAAAGTTAGAACACTGACATTTTGTTTCAGGGTAGCTCTTGTAACAGAGGACGACATCAAAAATCCATCTAAAAGAGTTCTACAAGTTCTAAAGTATACAAAGGACTCAATATTGTCTATAAATGTTCGATAAGAGGATTGAATGAGGATAGTTGCATTAGAATCATTCTTTGTGTCTTTGTCTATTTTCTCTTGGGGGTTAGGGGTCCTCTGTCTGCGTTGTCAGACTTTTTTACTTTTGCCAGACTGAAATGGAGGTTCGTTTACCAGTCAGGAAATCGATACCTATATGACTTTTAATTCAAAAATGTCTCCATTCATGTTCCTGCCTAGGGTGAATGCTTTGAGCTTAAATTCGGGGTAGGACTATTTTTAGGACGAACGAGACGAGTCTTTATTAATTTTTTTTTATTTTGTTCCAAATACATCACTTCTAAGACAAACAAAGACGTCTTTTAAGTAACACGTTTCCCTTTGGTCATTGTAAACTAAAGCAGCAATCTCATCCTTCCAACTCCCGCAAGTAACTACAAATGGATGTGTGTGTGCGTGCGAGGGAGCGAATAACGGGTTTTATTAGTTGAACAATTTGACCAAATCGTTTTCCATTTTTCACCGAAATCACAAACATCTAAACCATTCCAATTTGCCAATTTCAAGCTAGAATATCTCCGTGACAATGAAATGAAACTTTGTCCAACAAGCAAATCTTTCTGATATCGCACTCGAGAGGAGACGCCGTCGTCGTTTGTTCGCAACTTTGAATGCACATAGGTTCAAAAACTTTCGACTCACAAAAAAATTGAACTGCAAGTTTCAAACAACAATTCTAGCTGCTCAATGGCAGGAAAAAACGTTTCAGTTCTTGTCCATTTGCCTGTCGGAAACCAATAGAGATGCCAGGCATGGACAACTATTGAAGCCTTGCTTTTGGCGAAATTATATAAAATGTTACTGGCCTGTCCGTATTTGGCCATAATCAAATATTACGGTTGTTGCAGGATCGCACAACGGTTTCGGAACAGAATATCTATTTTGGATTCTATTTTAGAAGGTAACTTGACTCTAGCGCCTTGTTCCAGGTGCAACAGGGAAGTAAATGCATGACATACCCTGGACCACATTCCAAATGAAATCCGGGTAATCCATTTGAAAGAGTCAATTTTCGCAAGGTTAAAGTACACATAGGCATACACATAAAAAATAAATAAATATTTCTCTCAGCCTCGCTCAAAAAATAACATTTGATATGTGTATATGAATGTTTGGAGCTTCTTGCCGAAAGTAGCCATATTCATGGGATTTGGAGATTTGTTGAAGTGCATCTCTAAACCAGATAGACGCATCCCTAAACGTTGGCAAATTCAAATTCAAATTGAAAATTCAAGCACGGCGTTTGACTAGAATTTGTTTAACATTGCGGATCGATGTTTGAGTGTGTGTGTCTGTTGTATGCGGATACATTTACGTGTGTCTTTCAATGGCTGTAATGGCTGTAAGCTTCCTTCCGCTGGGAAATGGGTAAACATCACAAGTGCATGAATTGCAACCACGTAACGACACCACAATGCCGACACATCCACCAGTGGCACACATCCAGCCGGATCAACAAGGGCGCTGACGAAGTAAACATTAGACGAGGCTTTGGCCCACTTACAAATGTTAGCGGTTTGTGTGTCAGTGCTGCAGTCGGAAACGGCTATCACTTACATCACCCTAGTTGGGGTGCTAATACCCCCCACACACGCTCCAGTGGCAGGGGGCGGGAGGGAAATGCAAAGCGTTAGAAATTCACCGAATGGGAGACAAATGCTTGATAGCTACATCATCTGACATCAGTATTCCGAAGTTAATCCCCAGCAAATGGCTTGGAGGTTTCTGGGGATTGAAAATGAAGCTGGAAAATGGTTAATTTGATGCCATGAAACGCTTTTGAAATTGAACATTGAGAACAGTTAAAATTCATTAATTCGTCCAGCAGGAGAACCACCACTTCATCACGTTGTCTTCTGCTTTCTTTCGGGCGGACAAATGGACAAATGGATGGATGTATGCAACAGTTGGAAAATATTAAAATCTCTCATCCACTTGAGGGTGTCGGATGCTTAGCTACTCCATTTCACTTTTCCTGTCCCTTCAACAACACTTTTTTTTGTAGACTTGTTGACTGGCTACTACCATCACAACACCACGTGCCTCAAGTTCATGAATAAGTCACTTCAACTGAGACCGGCAACAGAATGTGTTAACTGCACAGCTTTGGAGCACTTCAGTTGTTCCAATTTGCGCCAGCTTGGCTGCAGTCTAATATCCTAGCATTGGCTGATGTGTGCTAACGTCCAAGTTATGTGTTCTGGGCCCATGAGAGTGACTTCATCATCCAGCCAAATATCAGCGTGTAAAGTGTCACTTTGACGCCCAGGCACCAGGCCACAATATACGAGGGCTAGCCAAGAAGTTACGGCTAAACAGAAGAAGCTACTCGACGCCAATGACAAAAGTTGAAAACATAAAATAAGAGCAGATAGCAAATATCTTTTAACTTCTCGACAGCATCCTGCGAAATTCCTCCACCAAAAAGAACCTCATCGAAACAACGGTTTTGGACCCTAGGTCTCTTTGGACTAAATCCGTTTCAAGACATTTGGAGTCGATCTAGCAATGTTCGTTCGTCCTTCTGTCTGGCTGGTCTGTACAATAACTCTAGAAGGGAGCATCCGCCTTGGTCTAAGCTTGTTACATCGTAATATTATTATCAAACTTAGATCGAGTTCGGACATGGGCAAAATCGATCCACTCCTTCTGGTACCTCCCCAACAAAACGTTGAAATGTTCAAAAAAATTTTTTACTGCACAGACAGAGAAAGGATAATCCGATTTTGCTTGTGCTATGTGAGGTATGAAAATGGACAATATCTGTCCACATCATCAAGTACTTCCCCCACAAAAGGGTCAAAATTTGAATAATCATAACTCTAATGAAATGTGACATAAGAGTCCGATCTTCAAATTTCACACATGACAATATTTTCATTAACCAAAGATTTGGTTTGAAGATGGGAAATATCAGTCCACTCCTTCTGGTACCTCCCCCACAAAGGGTCAACATTTTTATATATAATACTGTTATAATTTGCGAAATAATCACAGATTTTCTTCAAATTTCATACATCTAAACCTTTACTATCAACACATAATTAGGTGCGATTATGGGATTTATGGGTCCACTCCTTCTGGAACCTCCCCCACAAAGGGTCAAAATTTTGAATAACCAAAACGCTAAAAAAAATGCGAAGTAAGCATCCAATTCCCTTCAAATTCCACACATCCGAATATTTCTATCAACACATAATAAAGTGTGAAAATTAAATATATCAGGTCACTCCCCCCACTAAGGGTCAAAATTTTAAATTATTATATCTCATATAACTTTCGAAATAAGCACTCGATTCTTTTCAAATTTCATATTTTACTATGCCTCGCAGAACCTTTAAGGCATAGGCATTGTTTGTCATAAGCCATTCCGATATTCAAATTCTAAATTTGAACTAAACGGTGAATAATGTAGCTAAAATCATCAAAATATCGTTTATAGGGAGGTACCGTTATATCGGAGCTATACGAAGACATGGAACTGCATAGACAATTTTCTGTCAAAGGCTGTAGCATTCATTGCGAACTTCAAATACGACAACTCAAACTATTTCGTTGAGTATTCTACCTAAAATACCGAATATAGGGAGGCACTGATATATGGCGCCTATACGAAGACCTGGGCCTACGTAGACAATTTTCTGTCACAGACTGTATTTCCCATTACGAACTCTAAATGCGTAATTTGAAACTACTCCGGTGAATAATAACGCCAAAATCATAAAAATGCCGAATATTGTCAGGTACCGTTATATGGGGGCTATACGAAGACGTGGACCTGCACAGACAATTTTCTGTCATAGGCTGTAGTATCCATTACGAACTTCAAATATCAATTTTGAAACAATTCCGGTGAATAATGACGCTAAAATCATCTAAATGCCGAATATCGGGAGGTACCGTTATATGAGGGGCTATATGAAAACGTGGAACTTCATGACCCATTTACGAACTTCACCTGCCTACTGGCAAAATAAACATGTGCAATTTTTTAGCCTGCTATCTCAATTCATTCGAAAGATAAATTTTACGCTAATCAAGAATATATATACTTTGTTGGGTGTGAATATATAACATGAATATTTCGAGGAGTTACAAACGGAATGACGAAGTTAATATACCCTCCATAGTATGGTGGAGGGTATAACAATGTAATAGGTGAGTAACAAAAATTGAGAGAACATAACAGCGCGTGTCTCTACCAGCAGTGCTGCTCAAGAAGAAATATCTCTTTTCAGTCAAATTTCTCTTTGCTTATTTAAATCAAGAACAAAACAGTGTTAAGTCATTATTTATACAAATATTTTTTATCCATTTGCTTTATAAACTATTTTGGCAAACATTCATGTTTAAAAACAATTAAATAGGACCGTAAAATATAAAGAACAAGTAAAAAAACTGTAAGTTCGGCCGGGCCGAACTTTTAATACCCTCCACCATTTGGTACAAATTTGGCAATTTTCAAAAAAAAAAAAAAATCTGTTAAAATCTTAAAAATGCCGAATGGCTATACGACGACGTGGACCTGCATAGTCAAATTTTGTCATAAGTTATTACAATATTTAAATGCGAAACTTGAAGAAAAATCTGTTTAAAATATAGCTAAAATCATCAAAATACTGAATATAGGGGGTACCGTTATATGGGGGCCATACGATGACGTGGACCTGCACAGACAATTTTCTGGGATGGGCTGAAGTATCCATTACGAACTTCACATGCGAAATTTAAAACAATCCCGGTAAATAATGCCGCTAAAATCATCAAAATACCGAATATCGGGGGGTACGGTATATGGTGGCTATACGAAGGCGGGGACCTACATGGCCCATTTTCTGTTTTATGCTGCAGTATGTATTACGAACTTCAAGCACCAAATTTGGAACGATTCCGTTAAATAATGTCGCTAAAATGATCAAAATACCGAATATCGGGGGGTACCGTTATATGGGGGCTATACCAAGACGTGGACCTACATGGCCCATTTTCTTTCTTATGCTGCAGTATGTATTACGAACTTCAAACACCAAATTTGGAACGATTCCTTTAAATAATGTCGCTAAAATCATCAAAATACCGAATAACGGGAGGTACCGTTATATGGGGGCTACATGAAAACGTGGACCTATACATATAATGTTACCCCACTGGAGCTAGAATCCATTACGACTTACAGAGGTCAATTTTTAGACAAATCCGTGGAAAAATGTGGCAAAAATAATCAAAATACCGAATATCGGGAGGTACCGTTATATGGGGGCTATACCAAAACGTGGACCGATATATCCCATTTCCAATACCAACCATTCTAGGGACAATACACACACTTGTGCCAAATTTCAAAGGTCTACGTCAAATAATGTGGGCTCTATCGTGATTTCAACAGACAGACGGACAGACAGACAGACAGACAGACAGACAGACGGACAGACAGACGGACATCGCTAAATCGTCTTAGAATTTTATGCTGATTATGAATATATATACTTTATGGGGTCTACGACGAATATTTAGAGGTGTTACAAACGGAATGACAAAGTTAATATACCCTCCTACCCATGGTGGAGGGTATAAAAACAGAATTTTAATTTTCTCTTAAATTATATCTTTTTTCTCTTCATGTTCTAGAACACGGTTTTGAGCACCGCTGCTACCAGGCCCTGACATAAGCAGTCACGAAAACATAACATGAACCAAACGAGAGAATAACACCCAATCCGAAGCAAGTTAAACCCATTCCATTTGCTACGGTTCCACTCTTGCTCTGTGCAATCTCCAATACATATGAATATGAACATAGGTATGTCTGCAGGTACGTGTGTGGCAAATGCTTTTCTACGAAGTTTCACAGTCATTTTCGACTAAGAATTGATAATTTCATTTTGATACTACCACACAAGTATAACCTTTATATTATCCAATTTATTGCGATAAGCCCTACTGATTATAACTATTTTCGGGAATTTAGATAATCCCAACGACTTTTATAGACGGATTCTTTCCAATTCAATTGCAACAAACAATTTTAAGTAAAATTAAAACGTTTTTAATAAATTATTCTTAAAATAATACCAAACTCGTTATAAAAATCTTATGATATGTTGTTTACACCTTACAAGCGGACCAGAACTTCATACGATTCGATCTTTTCCTCGCCGCCACCAAAGGGAATGTAGAGGCAACCATGGGAGGGATGAACTTTGCCCACACACAGACTACCGGCATGTTCGGCACGACCAATGTAGAGAGTTTCGCCGTCACAAGTGGTGCCCGCGGGCACAGCACCGGGCACAATGTTTCCATTCTCACAGGCAACCCACATAAAGCCCGCTCCAACCAGGACCTGGAAGTTGTCGACTTTCTCTTCTTCGCCTCCCCAACAGACATAGGCACCACCCTTGTTGGGAATAACTTTGGCTGGCAGTAAATCGCCATCCTTAAATACGCGACCTACATAAATGGCGTCACCATCAGCATCACGACCTCCTTCGAGCGCATCTTCGGGCATCGAATCAGCAGTGGCGGAGATCCACTGGTCTGGTTGCGTTAACACTTCGTATTCGGTTAATTTCACCTCCTCTTCGCCGTAGGGGATATAGAGGCAACCATGTGAGGGGTGTACTTTGCCCACGGTCACACTACCTTCCCAGCAACCGCGACCAGCGTAGAGAAAATCGCCATCAGAAGCTTTGCCGACTTTTACGGCCGCTTCGGGTACATCGCCATTGGCAGCCGCAACCCACTGATAGCGCAACCCAGTCAGCACATCGTAGGTGTCGACCTCAACTTCTTTGCCACCAAAGCTCACATAGGCCTTACCTTTTGACGGAATAACCTTGGCCGGCAAAAGATCGCCTCCGTAATCAGCGCGCCCAATGTAAATGGTGTCTCCGTCCGAGTCATTGCCACCCACCACAGCCAGTGATGGTACAGCGCCGTTGGCACAAGTCACCCATTTGTGATCTGGAGGAAAAGATGAAAAATAACTTTTTTTCCATGGCGATCTACACACAAACTTACCCATGCTGATTTATTTGTTTGCTTGTGTGTTTCTAACGCAGAAGACAAAAAATGTCTAACACAACTGTTACCTTGCGTTGCAATAGAATGACTAAGCCCACGACACGGTAGGGCCCGAACGAGAGTTCTTCGTTTCTCATTATTCTATTCTTTGTGCGTTTCTTATCGGGAGGGACTTTACAGAGCAAGCGGTTGACAAACCATCTACTCGCGTTGGCACAGTGAACCCGGTGAATAGTAAAAATATATAAGTGGTTTGCCCCATAAATAAATAGCCCTCCGAACAAATATATTGCACAGTCGTCGAAAATATTACTTCTTCTGTACTACTCTAAAATGTCTCTCGTTTTCGAGTATACTTAAAAGTGTATCTTACAAATGTTAAATTCAAGCTCCATTGCTTTCCGATCGTTTTATTTTTGTAACATATTTTTCACACTTTTTCGTTGCGACAGGTCGTTGGTGAATCAGACATCGCTTTACTCACCTTCGACAGACAAACTTATCTTATCGTCTAACCGTTAAATTCCACCACCACACAAACACACATATGTAACAACTAATAGAGAAGTTCCCAATATTTTAAGAATTTCGAGTTTGTTGTACCCCTCCACCAGATACGGTCTGTCTGTCTATCAATGACAAAAACTTGGAGGCGAAAGAACTATAAACGTCAGAGTTTGACGCATTTCCAGGCGTTGTATGTGTATCTCGTGGGAGAAGAGGTGTCATGAGTCTATCAGCGATTTGTTGTCGGCATTGTTTGACTGTAATTGAATTGACTAATTGCAGGTGTCACACTCAGATGGTTCGGTTTGTCAAATTTGTGATGTCTATCTATGCCTGCCCATAACTAGAAAACTACGAAGTAATCTTCACCTGTGGGCAAACTCGGCATTCGTTCTGAGCGAATTACTTTGCCTAGAGACTACATGCCGCATTACCATCCATGAGTACATGAGTAGCCGGCAATCATGCTAATATTTTTTAATAAAATGGGTTTTACGGCAGATCAAAGAGCGGAGTGTGTCCGAGTCAAATTAAAGCGAGAGTAGAACCGAGCGAAAAAAGTAATTAGCAGCAGCAGAATTTTCTCGAAATTTAGCTCCCGCTCTAAAACGAGTAAAGCATATTGTTCGATCGACATCGAAAAATTGGGGTATGCTTAATTTTTTTCTACTCCCAGGAGGGTTCCCGCTCAAATTCATTACTTGATTTTTGTACCCTAGAAATGGAGAGTATACTCGTATTAACTTTGTCATTCCGTTTGTAATATCCCCAAGTATCCCCAAAATTCGTCGAGAATTTATGTCCGCCTGTCTCTCTGTCCGTCCGTCTGTCTGATACAACCCACATTATTTGACGTAGAGATTCAAAATTTGCCATAGCAATTTGTATTGTGTCTAGAATGGTTGGTATTGACAATGAGATACTTCGGTTCACGTTTTACCTCCCGATATTTTGTATTTTGATGATTTTCGACATATATTTTTCACGGATTTGTCTAAAAATTGGAATTTGTAGTTCATAATGGATTCTAGCTCCGGTGGCGAAACATTGAATGTATTTTTCGCGATTTTGTAAAGTCACCGGTACCTCCGATATTCGGTATTTTGATGATTTTTGCTATATTTTTCCACGGATTTGTTCAGAAATTGGTATTTGTAATTCGAAATGGGTTCTAGCTGCAGTGACGGAACATAGTTTGTATAGGTCCACGTTTTCGTATAGCCCTCACATAATGGTACCTCCGGATATTCACTATTTGTATGATGTTTGCCACATTTCGCCACGGATTTGTCTAAAAATTGGTATTTGTAGTTCATAGTGGATCCTTTGCAGAAAATTGAATATTTAGGTCCACGTTTTTTTATATCGCACACATAACAATACCCACCGATATTCCACATTTTGATAATCCTGGTCACATTTACCCACAAAATTGTTTCAAATTTGGTGTATTTAAGAAGATTTGGTTGATAACAATCTAATCCTCCTCTCAGAGCGAATTTCACAACCCTTAATTTCATACATTTCAGCATTAATAAAAATGTACGGGAACACAGCAGAAAATACATTCTCTTGTTGTTGGTGTTTAGTGCAACTGTCAACTCCTTAATTTCATCATTTATTACATTCCCCATCCACTTAACAAGCGGCCCTCGTACGGCTTCTCCATGTAGATGATTTAGTCTCCTAAGAAGATTTCTTAGCCACCACATACACACTAACTATGTATGTATTTACACCAACATACGCATAGGTAACTGGAAGTTTGACAGATTTGGAAGTGTGTGACAAACGGTTATTATTGTTATTTAAACTGAAAACTTTTCAACTTCTCTTCTTAAATTGAAGTTGTTCGTTAAACAAGGAACATATTTTCTTAGCACGTAAAAGCGAAAATATTGCGATAATGGACATGGACAATAAAGCAGGGCAGTTCAGTGTTTGACTTTACCACATGGGTGTGTTTGTTGGAGATTTTCTCCTAGAATCAACAATTTAGCCAAAGTGTTTCAAACATAAGTTGGAGCACAAACCACAAAAGTCCATGCCTTTGTGGGGCGTGTTGCATGCAACAGGCAACAAAAAAAAACATAAATGTTGCGACGTTTGAAATGCAAATCTCGCTTCCTGTGTTATTTAGCATAAATTCATAAATTCCCTCAGCACAATGTGGTTGAATTGCATTTGCATGACAATGAAAATACAATTAGGATAACAACAACAACAGCAACAACAAAGACAAACAGATTTAATAGCCTATCACTATCTGAATTATTACAATACAATATGGCCATTTAACAAAGAGACACTTTTTTGGTCTCCACTCCAGGACATAAAGGGAGATGACTTTCGCCATCACCATTTTCATAACAAATCGAAGACTGAGAGACTACTTTTAAAAAATATAAAGACAATTATTTGTTTGGAAATTCGACGTGTAATATTTGCCACTTCATTACATTGTAATTATGCTAAGTAACCCTTGAGTAACATGTACTCCTGAATGGTTAATAACTGAATACCTTTTCTGATACGAGTAAATAGTTCAATTGACTTAGAGGGGGAAAGAGGCTTCCGAATTACCCTTAAGGGAAGTGGTCACTATAAAATCAAATAAAATCTAGATGTTAAGGCGAGACAAGCGAGGCATGCACCGAACCTTTTTAGAAACAACATAATTACTGAGCTTTCAAGGATAAACGAGCAAAAACAAATTAGCCGGGCCGAACTTTTAATACAAGGCTGTATGAAAACGTGGACCTTTACAGCCACAAACTCCAAACACCAGATTTAAGATAATTCTGCTGAAAATTTTAGCCAAAATCATACAATTAACGAATTTTGCAAGGTACCGTTAGATAGTGACTATTCGAAGACGTTAATCCGTATGGGCAATTCTCTGTCATAGGAAGCAGTACCCACTGCAAACTCCAAATATCGAATTTGAAATAATTCTTGTGAAAGTTGTGTCACAAATCATCAAAATAGCGAATATCTGGAGGTACAGTTATATGGGATCTATACTCGAATCTATGCAGGATGAAAAAACTGCAACCAACTTCACACTGCTGTCATTTTCAAGCCACAGCAACGTCTGCAGAAATGGTTCGAAAAGTAAAGAAGCGACTTGATCGAAAGCCGCGTCGCTGTGGCCGAAAAATGACTCGTGAGCTGAACATATCGCAATATTCCATTCTTCAAATATTGAAAAATGAGCTCGGGGTAAAGCCATTGAAATTCCAAAAAGTGCTAGAACTTACACCACAACAGAAATAAAATAGACTCAAAGGAGCTAAAGAGTTTCTCCGCTTGGTCGAAAGTGGTGAACCGCCGAATTTGGAAAACATTCGTTGTTAAGCAGTTTGAAAACAAACAAAATGATCGTGTTTACTTGCCGAAGAGGTCATCTGAAAATGTGAACCTTCGGTTGGCCACCAGAACTCAAGCTCCGGCAATGGTGATGTTCCGGGCCGCCATAACAGCCGACGGTCGCTCTCCGCTCGTATTAATCGACTATGGCATCAGAATAAATGCCGAATATTATCGCGAAAATATTCTGGAGAGACCTTGTACATTCCAACAGGATCCAGCACCACCGCACTCAGCACGCGCGACCCAAGAATGGTTACAAAATGAGGTTCCTCGACGGGGGAGGCTTCGAAATATTAGGAATTTTCAAGTTTGGACTAAATAGAATAATCCTACCTAGAGCGAGGGTCTTTTTGATGGAGCACGCGGATAATCCGATGACGACTTAGGCCTTAAAAAGGAATACCGCAGCATTTAAGCAAAACGTTCATTGAAAATTTTATTAAAAAAATAAATCGCTTTATCTTGTTCCATACATAACCTCACTCTGTCTAGTTCCAGGTGGGACACCCTTTATACACTTTGTTGGGTCTAAAATTATTACTTTAATGGGTTAAACATGTAATAACAAAGTTAATACACTTCCTTTTTTGGCGGAGGGTATAAAAAAGTTAAAATTTAATTAATTCAACATAACTAAATGATTACTTCTAAAATGGATATGGAATTTTCGCTTTCTATTTTAAAACTTGACGTTGGTAAGAAACTTTGCCTGTCACATTATTTTTCAAGTTTTTCCTTCATGTTCATATTTATTGTTGGTGATTCTAAGAGTTACATCCTATATTCAGACCGTATTCCAATATATATTTTTTCAAAAGTATCTAACGTTATAAGTATTTTTTCCATTCGCTTTAAAAGTAACGAACTAAATACAGACAATGAACCACAATAATTAAGTTCTGGCAAGCGCCATCTACACTTAAACTCCGACAAATTTGCAGATACTACAGCTTGCCCAAACGACGGTAGATAATGTTTGATGCAATTTGCGACCATTAAACACACCACTCATATGTGTTTGGAGAACTTATTGAGGCCCAGAAATCGATAAGACAGTACTAGAAAAACAATTCAATTCATAAAATGAGATTTATTGTACGATAGATTTGATAAAATGTATACATCAAATTAAAACAACGTTATCGACATTTAAGTCAGTCGTAGTCGTTTCACACACCATCAATTCATATCGACCGAAGTATGAATGCACAGTAAACACAGACACCAATATGGGGTATTTAATCCATGTTAGTTTTGGTAGATGGCGCTGGTAAAACGACAAAATGTTATGTCACCGTAACAGAGCTGATTGGCCATTTCAAAATAAAATATTGATCCATGGCAATTTGAACATAACAAAATGTACGTTTGTTTGTCCTATCTGTATTGTGTCATGCCTTAAAAACTTATGATCTACATCCTAAATTCATTCACTTTTGACACAATGAGACACCAGTAACGAACTGCATTTCATCTAGTTCCTTTGAAATAAAACTCATTCCTAGTTTACTCTGCCAAATACTACCTTTTATTTGGCAGAGTAAACTAGGAATGAAAAAACCATTTATAATGTCATGTCACGTCATTCAAGGTAAAGCTGCTATCAGACAATAAGGATTTTACACATGTGCTGTCACTTTTATTATGCATGTGTATTTCCGTGTGTACGTCAAAATCGTCTTTTACTTGTGGCTCATAGCTCTTGCTATCACACACTTGCCTATTATTTTTATTTCCTTTGGTTACATTTGCTCAACAGCAGTATCTATAAGAATCTACCAGTTTTGCAATTTTCTTCGGCATCATAAAGTGAAAATTGGTTGTCGTTGTAAAAACTTTTACATTCCTGCAGTTCTGGAACAGACCAAAATATTAATTTTAATTTTATATATTTTTACAGAACAAACAAACAACACTTTTGATTGAATTATGTATTTGAAATGAAAAATAGGGATCTATGTAATCGAAAAAAGTGCATATTTACTTTTCTCATGTATTTCATAACTTAAATGTCCTCCATGTATCACACAATGATTTAATCCTTTTAATATTTGGTTTAATACTTTTTTAGCAACGTCATTATATTGTTCATTATCGATTCCATGGACAAAGAGCGGTCTTACAATTATAACAAGGAAGGGCAAATCGATTAAAAGAAAGTCTTGAAACTTAACATTTACGCATAACAAATGTTGTATTGTTTATTTGAAAATTTTCTCACAATATTTTTATATAAGCGGAACTCGCAAATATGTAATGGAACCAGCAGATAATTTACAATATCGGGTTCTTAATATGATGTTAATGATGATGATGATAAAAATGTTTCTTCTCAAAAGTTGTAAATCTATTCCAGACCCTGCAGGATTCTACTAGTTTTGCAATTTTCTGGGATATCATAAAGGGACAACTGGCTATCGTAGTAAAAACTTTTACATTCTTGTAGTTCTGAAACAAACCATTTAATTCAAATTACGACAACATTTCAAAATAAGTCACTATATGTTCTGATGTATGCTAAGCAAGGTTACTGGCGGCAATTTTAATCGTTCCTTTTCGAACTTTCCTCTTGTATGTATACAAGGCAATTATTTTCAGCAATGTTCATTTTCAAGATTGTCTTTCATACAATTCATTTATATACAATTTCTTCAAGGCCTTTAGAAGTCTATTTTCACGATTTTTAATGGCGGAAATACATAAAGGGCATATTTGGCTGGCTTCAGCCGGCTTCTTCGTAGATGAACAAAGGAGTTTTAGGTTGACTTAGTTTGTTTTTGGCCCAAGGCTCCTTTGTTAATTCCCGAAGAAGCCAGCCGATGACTTAAGACAGCCTTATGTGTCGTCTTCTTGGCATTTATTTTAAGTATATATTTTTTCATTGTAATTTAGTGTCAATTGTACACAAAAAATTAAATAAATGTCAATTTTGGCACTCGTAATGAAGCGTTGCTCAGTGCAATCATATTTTAATTTTCTGTATGACAACGCGTAGAACTTTTCACTCTGCGTTGGCCTTTAAGTCCGAAAATGAATCACACTTTGCATTCTACGATTACTTGGTTGTCCATTCGAACGAATCTACAGAAAATGATTCTACAACACAACTGGTTATTCGATTTTCCAGCAACTCGATGTTTTCTTCCATAAAGTCGATAAATCGATTAGTCTAAAGTCGACCTAAGTATCCCTAACTCTAGTGAGAAATGTTTAGACGTGTTCAACTTTTGATGAGAAAAGACATTAGTCGTGCCGCGCGTCGCGTCCTTTTACCGAAGAAAGTGCTAAAGCAAAGGGTAAAAAAGTGTTGTGTTATTGTTTTTTTTTTTGCCGACGTATTGGAATATTTTTATATGTCTACGTCCAATAAATTCCTTTGTTGATAAAAACAACAACAATTTAAAGTGAAGGAACGCTAATTATATGAGAATAGTGAGCGAAATTGGGTTAAAATACAAATTCGTGGGTTATCGACACCAATTCGAGCCGCAGCGACAGCAACATGTGTGAATGAATAATAATAAAATAGCATTCGTCAGAATCGGGAAATGAAGAAACTAGTGCAACAAGAATAAAGAGAGAATAAAAATAAGAAGTGCAAAGAAAACATACACCATCGATAGAAACAACAACAACAAAGGCTCAAATACAAAGGATAAAGAGGACAAAATAATCGGAAAAACAGCTGTTTATGTGCTGGAGGAGATAAAAGCGACGTTGCATTTCATTGCTTTTTTTGATGCACGAAAGGTAAAATTCAAAACAAAGGCTAATAAACGCCATATTTTGTTGTAAATTGCTCCGTCCATGGTTGGCATATGATCTGTCAAATAGTGGGGGTGTTGTTTTTCCTGCCCCGGCTGTCTGAGAGTTGAACACAATCAATGTTTACACGTTTGGATTATGCCCTTAAACATAGCAGATTCTGTTTTGTTTCTAAGTTTAATATTTCTTACGTTCTTTATGAACACACATTTGAAAGAGGTTCCCACCACAAAGTATATTTGTTGTCTTCAATAAAATCAGGAAACTATTTCGAAAACATTGGACCAAATTAAATTACTGATGATAAATTTACGTTTATCATCAATCGAAAGGCAAATTTTGAACATAATTTTTTATTCAACTCAAAGTGCTTAAGAACTCTAGGTGGCGGCATCCTCGAGAAAAATTGCTATCAACAGGTGTATGAAGCTCGTTATTTTCCAAGAACACATTTTTTTGTAGTTTATAATCGTCTTTGTTACATCAGAACCGCATTGCTCTTTTTACAGGGATACGAGTTAGGGGATTTTCATTTTAGATAAGTTGAGTTTAGGGGCTATGCTTGGATTGACCTGAAATTTTTACCGCAGGTAGGTATTTGTAACCTGATTACGGCAATATAATTTTTTTGTGGGGGAAATACCCGGTTACCCGGTTATTTGACCCAAAAGTTCGGATACAACATCCGGTGTATATCCGGTTCTACGTAACCGATATCGATAATATGGGTATCATTTGAAAGCTTATAACACCGACTACGCGATCCATAATATTCTAACAACACCAAATTAAAAACAAAGCAGATTAACAAGAACGTTAAACCCGACACAAAACTTGGCTTCACTCAAACTGCTTTCATAAGTAACGAATTTAAAAGTCAATATCTTCGGAACCACAAAAGATATCAACACATATGACACCATTTTGGAAAGGCAATAGTGTTAGCTATAATATAGTGTATAGATTTTAATACCCTATAATGGGTCCATTTTCGAGTTTTTATGGGTTTTTCAAAAATTACTCATACAAAAATGCACATTTTCCTAAATTTCTCCGAAACCGGTTCCAGTTACCCCTTCATATGACCACTTGTTGGATAGGTATTTTCATAAGCTTTCAAATGATACCCATTTTATTGATATCGGTTACGTAGAACCGGATACAAACCGGATGTTGTATTCGAACTTTTGGGTCGAATAACCGGGTAACCGGGTATTTCCCCCACAAAAAAATTACATTGCCGTAATCAGGTTACAAATACCTACCTGCGGTAAAAATTTCAAAATGATCCGAGCATATCCCCTAAACTCAACTTGCTCCGTTATGTTAAGCGAAGCGTTTCTGCATGTATTCTGAGTAGTGTAGGATTTTATATTGTTGGCACGATTATAGCTTTGTTGTAGTTTAAATTGAGTGTCATTATGTATTTTCATTTCAAATGCTATGAAATTACAGGGTGAGATAAAAAAAAACTACAACAAAGTCAAACGACGTAATTTTTTACATTTTTTTTAAATGTAATTGAATGAAAGCTAAAAATGTTGGAAAGATCATCAAATTTTAGAATAAGTTTAGATTTATTCGAATTGGTTACCCTTGGCACTTCAAACGGCCAGTGAACGCTGCCCGAATGTTGCTGGCGAAGCGCTTGCTTTCCTCATTTTGTAACCATTCTTGTGTGGCGCGGGTTAAGTGCGATGGCGCTGGAACCTGTTGGGATATCCAAGGTCTGCGGCCAAAATGTTTGCGCGCCCAAGGCTTTAATACACCCTCCAGAATATATTCGCGATAATATTCGGCATTATTCTGATGCCACGGTCGATTAATACGAGCAGTTAGAGACCATCGACTGTTATTGCGGCCAACGGAAGGTGTTCATTTTCAGCTGACCTCTTTGGCAAGTATCGTGTTTACATATTGTTTGTTTACAAACTGCCGGGCAACGAATTTTTTCTCATCGGAGAAAACCAAATTCGGCAGTTCACCACTTTCAGCCTAGCTCTTTGGAGTCTATTTTCTTTCTGTTGCGGTGTAAGTTCTTGCACTTTTTGGAATTTCAATGGTTTTACATCGAGCTCATTTTGCAATATTTGCCGAATCGAATATTACGATATGTTCAGCTCACGAGCCATTTTTCGGCCACTGCGATGCGTGTTTCGATCAAGTAGCTTCTTCACTTTTCAAACCATTTTTGCTGATTTTGTCAGTGGCGGTGTTCAACGAAGTGATTTTCACCAGTACTCGAAAATCACTCGATCCGCTGGGTTTACGACTCATATATTATACTTCGAAGAAGAATGTCATATACTTCAGATCTTTGCACATATGTACCAAGTTCACTTTTAATAAGGTCACACAGGGCACGAATTCAAAAACTTGGTCTTCTTTTGATGTCAAAAGCTGTTTCTTGCAAGGAATCCATCAAAAAATAGAGGAAGATACACATAAAGTATTGTAAATACAACTTTTTAGGACTCCCCTTTGTGCAAATATAATAGAAATAAGCTCTTTACACCGTTGTTTAATATAAAAAATAACCTTTGAGTCAAATATGTAAAATATATTAAAAAACCTTCCAACTGTGGTTTTTCTTAAGATCATAGGCATTTTTCAACAGGGAATGTCAAAATGTATTCATGTTTAATTAAGAAAATGTTCTGACATGTATGGAATGAAATGTCCAAAAAACCAAGTTGCAACCCATTCTTTAGGAAATTGTATTCATCTGGAAAATGTCTCAATTATTTGGATATCAAAATATAAAATTACTGCCAATTCTAATAGAGAAGGTCGCCTACATAAAGTGTTTACTTAAGGGTATACTAAAGTACATTTTTCATTATAGTTTGCAATAATTAAACTCATTTTTAATAAATCATAAACACACATTTTTAATAAAACATAAACAAAAGACAGCTGAGAGAAGTTGGCCGTAAAATATGGAGAATACATGCCAAACATCGTAAATCTGGCGGTATCGTTATGTGAAAACTGTATTAGAAACGACCCATTGAATCCGATGTGGAATTCATTTCCATAGATGGGCGTTGATTAAGAATGTATAAATAGTGAAGTCTGACATAATTATTTTAAAACGTCACATACGAAATGGGAATAACAATTCTAAATAATTCTTAATTGTTTGCTTGAAAATTCCAGCTCAGATAGATATAAATGGTTTTTATGCTCGTATGAAATATGTTAGTTTTTATCTGATTACTTTGTAAAAGAAATAAAAAACGATGCCGGCATATTTACATACAATCAATCACCTACATCTTTATTGATATTCGTTCCCATTGTACACATCACCACTTTCAATTAAAGCAATATTAAAGCAAAAACAAAACAGAAAACCAAACATTTAAATTCCAAGTAGGTACAATACAATTTCACGTTCGATTGAGTGAATGTGCAACTGGCTGATTGATAAAGGTTTATTTTTTACAAAATGAAAGGAAAATAATGAAAAAGAAATCGAAAATGTTAAATAAAAACTCAACAAGTTGGGTGATCTCAGATCGCTTGGCATTTACAATCTTATTCGAAAGAAACGAAGTTATCTATGGCTGCCCTTTGCGTCTAATGTTGTGGTTATTTCATCTCAAGTAAAGAGTACTTGAAGTACTTCACCAAGGCATACACATCACATCTATATATTTATATACACATTTAAGTTTATGCTTTATTTATTTGTATGCATATTCCTATCTACCTACCTACCTACCTACCAGCTTTGCATTTGTATCTAGGTAAAGTGTGTTGGACACGTACACCCAACTTATTCAGTAAATGTGCACACAAAGCATTGCACTTTGCCATCGCTTCATAACTATGCAAAAGACGTTTCATTCAAGTTTTTCTTTTAAAGAAGACACCTCAACGCCGCAACGTTTTGTTTCTTCCCCTCATTTTGTTTATGCTTAGATATCTCTTTGAAATAAAAATATGGGCCAGATTTCTTCTGAAAGGTATGATTGGTTGGTTGCTCGGTTTCACTCATTTCTAATAGATTTGAATGACTCAACATTTACCTAATTGAATTTTCCTTCACAGCGATTAAGGAACTAAGATAGTTGTAATAGTAATTTGAAGGAATTGTTTTTTTTTAATTTAAAGGTAGAACAAGTTAAAAAGTATCAGGCGGTTTTGTCGAAAAATGTATACCCTCAGCCAATGGTCGACTATCCAAATCTATTTTGACTTGTGTTATGATTATTCCAATTGTTGACTCTCTATGGAGTATGTTCCGAAGGAATGAGCCAATATTGTCTATTTCGTATCGGTCCTAAATAAATGTGATATAAATATTGCGACGTACCAGTTTAAGACCACATCGACTTCTTCCTTCACTTTATATGAGAAATGTGATAATTTTTAGAAAATGTCAAAATGTGCATGACATATATCCTCTGTAGCCTATAAGTAGAATTTTAATAATAATAATAAAGTTTTTTTTAAATAAAATAAAGTTTATTTTTAATAATAATAATAAAGTTTTTGTGGGACTGGAGATGTAAATGTTTTCTACAAGGCCTTATTATTTATACAATTACTGAATGCAAACAAAAAAAACCTGTTTAAGACTGTCAGGCTGAAATTTGGCTACTCCTTCCCATCTAAAATGAAATGTGCCAAATTGCTGCCTTCTCGGCCGTAGTTACAAACGGAACGACAAAATTTATAAATAGTGGAAGGCATAGGCATGTAAATAAGTAGTCATCGTACAAAGGAGATCTCTTATGCGAGCTTTTTTTATTTATTTATATTCAATTAACACAGTTACTTAGCCCATAGGTCCAAGGACGGTTCCAAAAACTTCTACACATGACGATTACAGTTACAAAACCGTGTGGAGGGGGTTGTGTCATTTTGTATTGGTCCATAATTCGACCATTAAGTGTCATTGCTTATGCACTTCGCACCTTAAAAATTGAGTCATATTTTGAGATTTTTAGTTATCCACATAAGAAAGGTGTTTTATA